TGATAATATCTTTTTTTTTTTGTTAATGGATATTTTTAGGAGAGACGACGTCGAATTCAAATTTGAGTTTTAGTTTTTAATCATTCTAAATAGATATGAATGTGCTGAACATACAAATGTATCGATTTTAGTGAATGAATCATAGAATAAGTGCAATAGCTGAGACAAAAATATCACATGTAGAGAAGTAGTTATATTCAGTCATCATGTCTATAAACTTGCTGTTAAATATGAGGAATTTTATAATTAATGATATCGGTAGCATTCTAGAAATAAGAAAACAATGAGTAAAATCATCATATTTGCATTTGGATTTCTCACTCAAAGAGATTAATACGTGTTTTTTTAAATATATACTCAAAGTTTGGCAATGTATTATGCATTCATACAATGTTATTCAGTGTCAAATATAGTTGATGGTATCATTTTGAATTTGAATATAAAATATCACAAACTATAGTTTGTCATAAATAAGAATGTTTATCTGTTTCCGAGATGAGTCCAAGATAGGACATACAGTTATCTCGTAGATCTACTTGTTCTACAATAAGTCAAACGAAGTGATACATGAGCGAATAAATCAACTATTTAAGAAAATCTGACGACTGACCTATTCAATTGAATTGAATAAGATGTCTTCAAGATTGAAGTGTGAATAGAAGAGACTTGAACAATGTAAATAATGGTGTGGCATACAATCAAACCCAATGACAGAATTTGAACTTTTTCAAACTTGTCTCATTCATTATGAACTATATTAATAAACTGTTGTGCCAAAAATATGGCATGACGTGTCTTTGACAATCAAGCGAAAAGTGATCTAATGAATTACTTGGCTTAGCACGAACACTGAAAGAAAACTAAAACAACTTAAACTCGAACTCATTGAACTTGAGATTTTTGATTGACTCTAGTACAGAATCTAACAACGTTGCCGAAATTCTTCTTTTGACATTTTCTACCGATGAAAAAAATGTTGTGCCGTTTAGTTCAATAGATAAGAGCATTTTTCTTTATTCAGGCGAAAATGATCGAAACATTTTGGTGCACTCCTAACAATTATTACAAGAATAATGCGAGCCAAACTGTAGTAGCTCAATGAATATTTGAATGTGAAAGTGAACATAGATATCTTATTTTTTGAAGCGCATACATATATAAATATATATTAGAAAAACAAACTTATTTTCATTGAGCACAGTTACATCAAGTCTTCTTAGGTTTCCTGCTTTGTACGATAGAACATGATTGTAAGAATTCCATTTTTTGTGTGCTCATCTCGAATCTATGTCGAATTTGAAATATATCACACCGTGTTCGTTCTAATTCAAATTAAATCTTACAATTTATAGAAAGAGCGAAATGTTTTATGCAAAAATAAATAAACGAGTTTGACCGGAACAGTTTCTCAATGATCACAAAAATTCTATAACTAAAGTTATCAAAGAAAATAAAATCTCTTTTTATTTTTCCTTTCTAAGTTTTATAGTATAAGGACAGGATACTATTACTGTATTAAAGAAAAAGAAACAGAAATAGTCTACATGTTTTCCAATGGCCGTTACGAACACTTTTATAGCATCTCCTGTTATCATTGATTTTTGATAACTGTCAATTACAATTGGAAAAGCTATATTCTATATCAAAAGAGAAGTTATCTTCTGATATATATTTTATATAAAAAAGGAACCTTATCGAATCCTCTACTTAACGATATTATTTGAAATAAGACATAGGTTCTATGTAAGATATTCAGACAAAACTTTGTTTTTAGATCATAAATTTCAAATAGAAGTTTCAATTAAAGTATTCATTGGTCAGTCTTTTCTAGGCTAGAGCAATAACTTTCATATCAAATGAAAGCAATCGTTCTAATGAACAGTTGTATATATATATATATGATTCTAAAAAACATGGAAAGTTGATAAACAAAAAGTCCAAACAAATACACTTGGACAAAGAAATAATTGTGATCGAAGTTGCGAAAGAGTTCGACAGTAACTTTTGTTTCTGAAGTTTTTGTAGTCTTCACAAAATATTATCGATCAAATTCATTGATATATATCTACACTAAATATGTTTCTCTCTCTGAGACAAACAAACCAGCGAGCTTCGACTATATTGTATTACAACGTTATATCACAAACAAAGTTAATTTAAAGCTTTTTTAACCCATATGATACGCTTATTTCTAATGTGGAGCTCCGACATCTTCGCCTATTTATACAAAAAATTAAAAAAGAAAATACATGATATGATAGAAGTCACTATTTTTATCAATCTATTCGCTATGGATATGAATAATTAGTTTTTCTTGAATTTTGAAAGCTTTGTTGTAATTTTTTATTACAGAATCATAGACACCTTTTGTTTCATCAAATAATATGCCACTCACATTGAGTACACGAACCAAGTTAGGTTTCAAACATTAGTAGACTCTAATGGTTTGATCAACTTCGCCATGTTTTACAAGATCGTATTTTTGCATATCAGCATGACAAATTACAGAAATCCAAGAACAAATAGTTCTATTCAATGTTGGAACCTCTCTCAGACAAGCACAGCAAACTAAAACCTAACTTTACCTTATGATAAATCTGATCATACGTGTAATATTCTTTAGTAGGGATCGTGAGACTGATGACAACCTTTGCAAAAATTTTTGAAAAATCTAACAGTTAGTTCAATAGATATGTTGCCGATTTTCTGACTCGTTTCTCAGTCGATGATGCCATTCTGTAGTTCTTTCAGCTGCATGTGTTTATTTGATTTTCACAGCTGATTCTTCACCATAATTAAAATATTTTATTCGAAAAACAATATACACATGAAATAACATGAGTGTTACTGTATTTTTCAGAGATATTTTAAATAGCATCACTTATCTGAAAGGCATGTAAAAAAATGTACCAAAATAATGACATGGAATTTAAAATTAATGTATTCAAAGTTTATTGATTAATACAGGCCTATTTTAATCAATGGCATTGAAGTGTATTAATTTTAATGATAGTTTCGTCATTCAAAATATCATTCTCTTTTCGTGTTTTCGATGGTAAATTAGTGAAAGTCATGACATTTTTTTTATTTTTTAAATGTTTGTATTAAATAATGCTTAAATTCTTGATTAGATATTCGTAACATTCACTACTCAAAATTATATTTACAGTCATATTCAATAAGAAATGTTTTGACTATAATCGAATTATGGTGGAATAAAATCAGAATTATGATCGATTTAAGAGATCTTGATCTTTAAAAACGACGAAATATTTTTCATCGGATAAATATTAAGAGAAAACGTTATGATGAGAATTAAAAAATATCGAGAATTCAACAAAAAACATCGTTCAATTTATCTTTCTTTGAATTTACTTAATTTAGAAAAGAGATTTTTTTAATATTCATTCTTGTTATAATTGATCTTTGATAATTAAAAAGGGAATGTGCCGCAAAAATAAAAAGAATATTAGAGATTTGACGATTTTCATTAAAATCGAAATAAGTTAAATATTCATTTGACAAACAAACGTGTTCTAGAATATTCTCATTATTATATTTATTGTATGCAAAATAAATTTCACATACCACGGAGGACTTTGTACTATTAAAAAAGAAAATTAGGCATATTCGAGCTAAATTAAAGCTCTCACTATCCAACTAACAAATTTTAAATCTGAGCTGCTCATGGCTGGTATCAAGTAATATAATGGATTTTTTAAATGTGTACAGTAGTATGTAGAAGATAACTACAAGTTAAAATTTGAGCACTTGTTCTTTTTCTGTGATTGTTATAGAACTTGTCTACTTGCATTAGAAAAAAGTGTATTTCAAAACTAACAAAGAATTTAAAAAAGAATAATGAAAAAGGTTCAAGATACAATTATCTTCAAATACAAGGAAAACAGATTTAAAAAACCCTCACTTATGTAAAATCTTTGAAAATTTTGTTTTTAACATTGAAATACACTTTCTTATTCAACTCGACGAGCTCCATCCAATCATCACAATAAAAGAAAAATAAATACTGTTCAAAGTTTGACTTGTGAACATATTACATATAATGTATTGCTTGATGCACCTCATGGAAAGCTCAGATTTTAAATTTGTTAGTTTGACACTGAGAGTTTTAATTTTACTCGAATATCTCTGATGTTCTTTAATAACAATGCAAAATCTTCCATTGCTAGTTACATCAATAAGAGTATTCATGTTCGACGACGAAGGTATTATGTAGACACATTTTTTGAGACTCAATTCTTTATGCCAATAAAAAATGAAAGAAAAAAACTATAATCCTATAGCTTTCTCGCAGACATTCAAAATAAAAACAAACATGTCGTCATGCACGTAATGCTTGCTCTGTGTCAATCAACAACAACAATGATGCATAGCAATGATATGAATATATACCATAATATCAACTTGTTTGTTAAAGTACATAAACAGAATACGCTGACAGTAATAAAAATAGCAAGAAATAATTGATTTCTTATATTTCTTTTCTTCATTTGCTACCTTACTGATCTAAAAGTAAAATACGGAGTTTTGTTTTTCAAATGATAATGTTTGTCTTTGTATCTTCAAAATCGAACAATTAATCAAAATACAGAATGGTTTCACCTCCTACTTTATTGTATATGTATGATGTAACATTATTTATTTTTATTCTGTCGAACAAATCAATCAATTGTTAACAACGTAAATTGTTTTGTTTCTATTCTTGTTTCTTTTTACTTGATGATTGTTTTATTCTCAAATTTTACTACTATTTTGTTGTACCATTTCTTTTTTCTCTGTTCTTTTTTTAGCTCGCTTGTAAAAAAAAAGTATATTTCAAAATATTTATTTAACTAGAAATATCAATAACATTTTTAAAAAATCGCACGAGTACTTATGAATTAATTTGTGTCACATATAATCTGAAATTCTGATACCAATAAAAGAACAACAATAACAAGAAAAAATCTTATTTTCCTAACTTCAACAAATGATTTTCTCTATGAAAGTAAAGTCTTTAACGAAAACTTCCATAAACGAGAAAATAAGTTTTGATGATTGTTTTGCTCCATTTTAGTTATTCGTTCAATATTACTTTCCATTACCACTCGATTTGGATGTCCTTTTGGAAGACATTTTTCACAAATAGTCAATGCTCTGGCAAAACTTAATTGAGCATCAGAGAATAATCCTGCACTGATCTGATTTGTTCCTAAATTGTTCAAGAATGAGGCCACTACAGGAGAATCAGATGGTGCACAGCGTTCAAGAAGAGCTAAGGCTCGTGTAGCTAATTCAAGTGCTTCTTGATCATTGCCACAGCTATGATAAATANCTATTGGTATAAAGTGTTAAATAGAATTTTTTATATTTTATCGAAATAATAAAATATTGCTTGAGGGTGGGCTCAAAGATGATTTCATATCTCTTGATAGAATTTGCAGAAAGAGCTAAACATTAGGATTGAAGCATAACTTTCCACGGACTTTCGAATGATAAACCTTAAATCAAAATCAAAATTTGGACGAATGCAGGCTTGGTCGATGGTCTCATGGACCCTCTCTTAACAACATTTTCATAGATATAGTACAATAGAGATAATCCACAAACAGAAATCTCTATAGCAAAAAATGGTATTCACCATCATACTTTGATCTATGTCATTGCAATTATGGGCAGATCTCAAATCAAGTATCTAGTGATCGTTTCCATTTCTTCAAGTAGAACAAGCAACTATCATGAAGTGAAGCGCACTCAGATATTTCTTCGAACTCAATTCAAACAAATGACCTTGTTATTCAACATGTTGAACGAGTGTTTATCTGCTGAAAGTGATTTTGTTCCAAGTTCTCTTGATTTGTTGATTTAAGAATTTTCTTTTTCCGTATTTACCCTTTCTATTTTTAATCAATCATGTAGATAGCAATTTAAAAACAAACAATCAATATACACTTGTTAAAACTGATTCATGGCAGATCATGCCCAGATTCAATCAAACATGATTGATGCATAAAGTATTCTTACCACATGCAAAGATTTGGTAACCATCCAAACATGTGTGAATTTCGATGTTTCTTCTGAGTTGGCTGGGTCTTTTTACTAAATAAAAAAAAATACTACCTCAAAACTACGCAATACAATATTTCCTTCATCAAAAGGGAAGGAAGCATCAATCGTCAATGAATATTTCAATGCAACCACTACGGAAGTTTTACACTTGTTGCCGGTGGCGGCAAAAGAAAATTGGTAGAGTAAAGTGAGGCAGACTGCTCAGCTCTAAATTGTATGTATTCAATGTGTGAACTAAAATCTTTTTTAATACTATAATGTGTAAAGAAAACGCATCGTATTCAATGTTATGAGATCAGTTCAAAATTGTTCGACATCGGAGCTTGTCGAAGTAGTAGGAGCAGATTTTTGCTTAAGTGTTGTCGCTCGTAAGATGTCAATAAAAGTGGTTCGGTGAGGGCCATACTTGGCTGTAAATGCCATATGATTCTCTCTATCCTTTCGAAACATTGTTCGACGCTTCTTCCACGGTACCAGATACATCCACGCCAGCGTTCCAAATTGATAGGCGAAAAATAGAATAGTATACACCACTAATGCCCAACGATCAATAATAATTATATTCGGTACACTGACTGTTGTCGAACCAGTCGGACTTCCCAACATATAATAGTATACGTAGCCAATAACACCATGATCTAAATGAAAAAATGAATAAAGATTTCTATCCGAGAAGATAAGACAAAAAGCACGATTTGACTAACAGATGTTTAGCAGACAAAGTGAGAAAATACTGCCAATTGCATATACATCAACTGCTGTGAGATACGAGATGGTTCTAAATGAATGAAATAAGTATGTACACAAAACAAGAATTCAGAATAAAATATATAGATGCCTACGGTAGTGCTTTATTACAAAGCCAACGAAATGTGATCGACGTGAGCAAAAGTGTGCAGGCTATTTGTACACGTCCACCAATACTAGAAAATAAAATGAAAGGTCTGATCATTGATAGTAATAAAAAAAAACATTTATCATACACTCACTTGAATAGTGGAATTGGAAACGTTGTAAAACTGGCTGATGTAATAAGGAAAATGAGGAAGTAGGCATTCCACATGAAATATCCATATCTCCTACATTTCAAAAATATATCCTGTTTGTCAAAATCTGTTATCCTGATTATTTTTACCGTGCAGCATGACAAGAACAAATAACTACTGAGTGGTTGTTTCCATCTTCAAGATATTCTTCGATTCTCTCTGTTATTTCGATATCTACATGTTCAAAAAGGTACCATTCTTGTTGATCAGTAAAAACTTGTCGGTTCGCTCCCGATGGTTTACGAAGATTCTTCACAAAGATCATTTCTTTGCTTGAATGTGATGTTGTAATTGAAAGTGAGAGTTCTTGAACATCAAGTGGAAAATATTGCAATTCCATTCTTTCCCACAATGTGCCTTTCAATTTATGATGCTCAGTCACAGTAGCAATACCTTGCCGATCATGACGAACACTGTAAGTTATCGTATCGTGAATTTCACCGATGCCATTCACTAATTCGAGTTGTGGTGTCCAATAGACCATTGGATCGAAAGATGTCTTTTGTAGACCTTTGAGTTTCTGTTCTTCCCAAGAAGCTTCGAAAAGTATTTCAGCATAATAACGTTCATTCAATGTATCAATTTCACCAACTCGCATAAATACACAACGAACTTGTACCTGCATTATTTAGATATAGATGATAAACTTAATCGATGACTCTGTTTGCTAAAAAAACCAATTCGAAATTTACCTCGATAGGACTTTTATCAAGTTGTTTGAAGATCAAATGCTTCAGTTGAGTACTTTTCAGATTATTACGATTCTCTTCGCCTACATCTTTTGCATCTTCATTTGTTGTTTTTGCATTTGTTGTGTTTACCAGCCAGTTGAATGGTGAAGTTTTTGAATTTTGTTCACTATTATTCGATTGATTGTTACCGGCGGGAATATTATTTTCAGCTATATAGACTCGTCGATTCGTCACTAGTTGGAGTAATTGTCGGTTACCATTTCGAATCGATCGAGCCGATGGTGGCCGTTCGACTGATCCGGCTATTCAAGAACAAAAGAGGCAACTTTGAAATATTTTCTCATTGAAATACTTCATGTGATGTTTCTGTTCCTTGAGCGAAATAATATGATTTTAAAATGGCACGAATCAGCTTCATTAAGGATCTTCGAAATTCTTCTGCTCACAGTTTCAAAAGCATGGAACGGTATGTAAATGCGCAGTTCAGTACCAATCTTTCTTTTTACTGATAGAACTATGATTTATGAGTTAGCATCAAGTGTCTATAATAAATTGAGAATAAAAATCTCAGATTATATACTTATGCTAGTTTCACAGGTTCATGTTACTGAAAACATATTTGAGGAAAATAATGCGTTATCTACACTAAAAAAGCTAGAAGTCATTTCATTGCTGAACAACTGCTAATAATTTTCTTGCTGTGTGAGAAAACACTTTCTTTGATTAGTTTTTTTCAGGAAACACGCATGAGATTGACTACATTTTTTGCAAGATGTAAGAATGGTAATGATTCAGAACAGTATGATTCACATGCAGTTCCTCGCACCAAAGACACTCCATAAACATTGTTTTTTTTTCCTAAAGTAGATACTTTTTGCAAAACTCCCTACACTCAAATCAATCATGGGCGAAATAGAAATGAAGCCAATGATGTTCTAAAACGATTCAACAACTTTAAAACAGTTGATTTTTCTGAGCTACATGACTGCAAAGTTCTCGTTGTTTTACTGAGATCGGAAAATAGGAATTGTTATCGGTGAGTCACTATGATATAGTCGTCGTAGGTTTCTCTTTCGGAACTCTAACAATCTTCTCTAATATTCTTGATCGAAATGAACTATATGTATATTGAAGTACTTTGAACTGAAGCTCAAACGATGCATGCCATTTTAACATTGACCTATGTTGTAATAAAAGCTGTTGAATGTTACAGATCAGACAATTAGAAATTAACCAAGATAGCATATTTATTGCCCTAATTATGACTATCTATTCTATCAAATAATTTGCAAACTTACGGCGCATTGGCGATGTTGGAGATTTCATACTGTATACGGAGAATATGATGATATGCTCCTAGCTATTTCTGCGTCTGACTTGCAGTTAATTTCACTAGCAAATAAAAACAGCCTGTATTTCACTTTTCTGTTTTTATTCTGTGTTAAATTTTGTCGCTCTTTTTGTCGTTTTACAGAAATGTAAAACAAAAGTCAGAAGATTTTTTTTCTCTCTGCCTTAGTTACTATTGCCCATGATAAATTTTTGATGAGGCTTGCATGAAGAGCTTCGCTAACATTACAAAGAATGCATTTTCTCTCTCTTCATCTTTGTTAAATATTCTCTCATGATGAACATTTCCATTTAGTTAATAATTATTTTTCTCTTTCGTATGAGCAGAGAAAGAAGAAAAAGAGTTTAGCTATAGTCATATAACCACTTGTATTTCCATGCACTTCTTTTGATTGGAAAGTATACATAATATTTTGCGAAAGATAAATACTCACACACACATACACACAATTTGAGCTAATGATGTCACTCTTAGTCATTGTTTGATCACTAAGTGTAGTTGAATGGTGTTATAGTTAGAACAGAGGACTCATCATCCAACAAAAGTTTATTTTTCGTATTCCACTGACTTGTGCCAGTGTTCGTTAGACATACAGAAACTATGGAGCGCGCTGTACGATTGAGGCTGTATGAAACCAAACTGTGTAATATTACGATTGTACAACCGAAATCTAACGAACATGATTGATAGATTAACGTATTGTTCACCACATGACATTTACATGAGAGATAGACTTTCATCTCGTAGGAAAAGGATGAGAATGTTCATTAGCCCAAAGCCCACTAGTTTTACTATTGAGAGTCATATTTATTAGTACTAGTTATGCCTTTGTGTGACAGAATAAAGTTTATTGCGATTGAAAACTCCGTTCGAGTTTTGATTAATGGAATAACTATTTTGATAGCAAAAGGATGAAGCATTTATATTGGAGTAAATCATGCAGTGTCAAGGACATAGAGCATACCAGTTGTCGGTGATGTACACATGTGAAGAAACGTTCGAGAGGTTTCTACGAATGGAGAATAAGAGAAGTCTTTGATTTGCAATCCAATAACTATTTTTCTAGCGTACTTCTGATCTTTCTCTTGTTCTCTTTACGCTTAAAGTAGGGTATCATACAAGGCTGATAGATGTCGACTTCTTGCTGATTTTTCGTTTTATATTATCAATCTTGTTCGTTGAATTAGTGATTGAATGTTTCTGATCAATAGTATACTTAGCTTCCATAGAAGTTATGTATTGTTGGTGAAATGCAAAAATAATTCCTAGATTGAGTATTACTAATAGGAGTGACATGATCAACAATGTTTTTTTTTCAATTTTCTTCGGCGATGGCAGGGATATTGAGGAGAAAGTTTACTAACTGAGAGATGTTACGCAACAGAGGTCCAATGGTGGGAGAAATCCGAATCCATTAAAGGTGACTTGAACTGATCGGATTTCGGCGTTAAGATGGTTGTCGATATTGTCGCTATAGTCGCCATCAAATAATGATGCAAGGCGAACTTTATATGTAGACAAGAAAATCAACAATTAGTTACTCTCAAGGATGAAAAGCAATCGAGTAAGAAAATATAGTTTTGATAGTTTAAAAGTAACGGAGAAAAGAAAAGAAAAATGGAAATAATTTCATATTCATTTTTCAAAATCCAACAAGTAGAACAGAGAAGATACAGTTGTTGATGACTCATCTTGAAACGAATCTTCACTTGCTTTTCTCAATAATGAATTCACGTAGACCAAGTCTGAGTCGTTCTTTATCATTGTTGCCACTATTGCTGTCGTGACATTGACAATTGATAATTTTTCTGTGGAGCTATTCAGGCGAACTGTTCACCGACTACAATAGATGGAGAACAATAGATTGCATTTGGTTGCTTGACGGATGTCCATGGCGGTGAGTAGGAGAAAAACGAATGCAAGTAAAATGTTCAAGATAGGTTGTGTCAAGTACTCAATAGAAAGGAACCAAGGTCTTTTGAAAGGGATGTAGTGCATCTACGGGCGCTCGACGAGATGGTAATGGGCACAGCCCAACAAATAATGTTTCATCGATACTTGAAAAATTTCCATTCACTTCTGAATGAACTCATTCGAGTACCGTTAATGATTGCTTCAGCGAAGAAAAATGATGATTTAATCACTTTTGATAAACACAAGATCGTCCAGATGCATTTTCTCGAAGATTCACTTTCAATTTCATAGGCAGGTTACTCCTCTCGAAATGACGCTGAGTAGTTGTTCAGTCAACCAATGCTCTAATGCTAAATGAATGTATAAGTATGGGTGAGTGGGTGCTGTTGCTAGTTTTTCGCTTCACCCATCTCCACCTCCGTATCCTCATATTCTTTCGCACATTCATCCATCCGTAATGATTGGTGTCCATATTATGTTTTCATCAAGGAATGCTAATCCAATTCTGGTGAACATAATAAAGAAAAAACAAGGCTTTTTTCAGAAAAACAATTTATGAATCATATCAAAAAAAATTCTATTCAAGAAGATTGATTGAGACAGCAAGTACTGAGAAATATTTGTGAAGACTTCGAAATATTGGATTGTTCTTCTTTAAGGGTCAATCGACAGTAAGTATTTATAGATAGGGTCTTCATTCTGTGATCAATGAAGACGACAGTCTACACGCAACGTTCAATGACAGAACTTCGACATTCAGTCGAGTAGAAATGTATGTGAAAGCTTGAACCTTTCTTCAATAGTATATCAATAACAAAAACAATTGATTTGCCATTGATTCGATGAAAAGTCAACTGAGTTTAATGTCTTTAGAAAAACGACCACTTCTTGATGATAATTGACGTCAATAAAATATACAAAAGATATTTTAAAGTAATAACTGGTACTATTTTTGCTCTAACGGTGCCGAAAATTTTCATTTAAATTCAAGTTTACATTTTCAATTTTCAATTCAGAGTCTATGATAAGTACTGGTAAGAAGTACGCATGACTTACATGTTAATATTGGTTGTTCATGCAACAACGCGCGTACTAAATGCACAAACGGTTTCGTAAGTGCGTACATAGTGTTGGCCTTGACATGTATTATTTTTGAGAAAAATAATCTCATAACCAATTCCACTCGATTTCACAAAAACAAGTATACTTTTCTCGATTTTTGTAAACCCCTCCCCAGAATACAAGGCCATCCTATATTAGAAGGCCACCCCAGAATACAAGGCCATCCTATATTAGAAGGCCACTCCAGAAAAAAAACTCACAAGGCACAATAGAAGGCCATGGGGTTTCCAGAAACTTTTTCTTTAGAAATCCAGTGGATTTTTATATTTTAATACTTAAAATATCGGTTTTCTAGTAAAAACCCAAGGTTTTGTAGCTAAAATTACCTTTTTTCTAGTAAAAAAACTGATTTTACGAAACTTGACTGTTAAAAGTGCCTTTTTGAACGCGAGAAAATTTATCCAGAAACTCCTGGTTTTTTAGGTAAATCTTAGCAAAAAATAGCCCACAATAGAAGGCCACCTTTGCAGAAGCGATGCGAATTTCCATATAGAAGGCCAGGGCCTTTTATTCTGGGGGGGTGTGGGAGTTTAGTGTGTAGTATTATNACGGCATTATATCAATTGAATAGGATTCAGAGATTAGATCAATTAGGTTTGAAATTTTACAATAAAAAACTAGGCCGGTTCGGTATTGTAGTGAGATTCTTTGCAGTTTAGAATGAAAAGCATGCATTGTTAAGCCAACAATGCTTTTTTATCAACACAATAAAGTCTATGACACAGGTACAAATAATATATGTTTGAATTTTGCATTAAAGCAACCTAAACTGAGTTATGACGAATCATTTTTATGAAATTTCAATTAAAATAATAGAAGTACATTTGTAAACGAGCACTTGAAATTCATGGTATATAATGCAGAACTTTATTGAGCTATTATCTATCAATGAAATATTTCGACGATAGAAATTCCTCAAAATAATTAAAAATTAGCCGTTTTCTCTAGAATTGCACCGAAAAAAAAAAAAATCATTTCGTTTCATTGACAATTTGTTTGTTCAATAATGAACCACAAATAATTAATTTCTGTCATGTTTTAGTACGATTTATGAAAATTGTTGTAAGGAAAGCTTATATTCAAAGAGTGAGGATGAATTTTTCAATTATTGAATTCACATTTCAATGATTCATGAACGTATAGTTTAAGATATTTATAAGATCATTATGCTTTGGAGACCTTAGCACAAATAATGATATAGAGAGGTGCCGTTATCAATTGAATTCAAATGCTGCTAGAAAAAATTGAGGCTTGTATATCGTCCTCAAAAAGTATTAAAATGTTTTAAGATTTTAAAAAAAGTATTTGTAAATCAGAAACAGTATCAACAAAATAATATTTTCTTCGAAATAGAATAATGATTTACTGGATAGATCGTCATATCAAAAATTTGTTGACATCGAACGTTTTTTTATGGAATAGAGAAAAATAATTTCGAATGATTTTATCATTGGTAAAAATTAAAATTTGTCATAATTTATTTTTCTGTGGTGTTATCTTTCTTTTCCTATTATAATATTTCATCCTTTTATTTAATCCTAACAAAGAAATTCTCTATCAGGACCGTATTTTAATCAAATGATGCGGTTTTTTTTCCTGATGATAGAGAAAAATTTCGAGTTTCTATTCGTACATAGATAGCTCATTGACGTACTTGAAATCTAGTATCACCTGTATCAGCACAGAAATTGCCCCTTTTCGAGGTACTTACATCAGTAATCAACTACAAAAATGTAAGGATCTTCACAAAAAGGAATGTTTTGACTTATACCGTTTTGGTAATAAGATTTCCTATCTACTTAAACAAATGATGACATTATGATCCAATTACTCTGAAGCATAAGGGTACTGTGACGTTTTGTAATATCTTGATTGTAGTACGGTCATCTGCTGAAGTAAATAGAAATTATTTTCTTAGCTAGAATGTTCAACAAAAAAT